TAAGTTCTCTTGTTAATTGGTGAAGTCACATCTATACGTCATTACTTCCAGGTGAAAGAGATGATGAGGGTTAAAGGTTATTCCCTTGCTCCTTCAACATTTTTGTACTTCTTAGCTGTTCATGGTAAGGTAAAGTATCACAAAATGCTCAGGAACTTTGCATCCATGTAAAAGGGCATGTGAGTCTGAATGGAGAAATGATACTGTTACCTGGATGTTTTTCCAGGCTGCTCAGCATGAACACTTATCATTGAAAGTAGAAATCAGAATATCTGAAGACATTTCTGCTGCATTAATGACAACATACATAGAATGGATAATTATGAAAATCACTGTGTGATTAGCCAGCTATTCTGGTGCTGCAGATTCCTCAACTGGACATGGGAATGTTAGTGAGCAATATAGGGGAGGGGGCTGTATTCAAAAATACGGGATTGAGTTGCTATTTCGTATAGGATTATTTTAATTACTTTGTATAACCACAGCCTCACAGTTCACAAAATTTTGCAAAAATATAATGTGTATATATATAAAATATATATAAAAACATAACACTTTAATTATACTGTGCAATAGAAGCCTGAGTGACGTTAAGAAACTAAAGACTTCATTCCCTTCTACTGATCAAATCCAAACTTCTTTGAAATTGTAGAGTATCTTTTTTACCAAAAAAAATGGATCCTCCTTTTGTATTAAATGCACGGTCTTACATCTAGGAACATAATGACTCGCAAATAAACAATTTTTATTAAATTTACAAAGTACTTATAAATTTCAGTGTCTTCAAATTCAAACCTTGCTTAAGCTGCACAGATGAAATCTTTGTTCTTTCTGTTTAAATATTTTCAGACATGCTCATCAGTCCCCAAATACTGAAGAAATAGTTTAACTTCTGTATGAGTGAAGTTTCGCAATCCAGGCAAAACAGAAAAATAAATGTTCTTTGATCATAGTATTGTCACTGGTACGGGTTTATTACCTAGTCACTAGTAACTGCCACCATTTTTTCTTTTTGAAATCTGATTCCAGAAGAGGAATATTACTACATTCACATTCCTTATTCCGTGTGAGGTGCTAACTTCAGATACCCTATACCTTATAAACTGAAAACTGAAACAGATGTAAAATGTTTTTAATAGTCTTGTCAAGGAAATTGAATACCTTGCTGGCTCAGTTCAAGTAGTATTTGCTCTTTTGTTTCTAGGAACTTAATTTTCCTTTTGAGCCTTAATTTGGTAATGTTCACTTTTTCCTTTAAATACTTACTTGCTTCTAGCTGTCTGCAAGTATATGCTCTTAAGGAAAGAATTTGGGGAACGTAAGATTGGGACAGGTTATGATGCAGTTTGTCTCCTGTAATCACTGGCAGCCATGCAGTGATGCCAGGGTGACAACTGATTTACTCTCTGATGGTTTTATTGTTGCAAATGTGTGCTTTTGTCCTCAGCAGAGGCTACTCATGATAAGGGGAGCGGGTTTGGCCAGACGTGAGTAAAAACTAAGAGAAGAATGGGGAGGAAAAGATTGCTTGACCATTTAAAAATGTCTAGCACTGTATCTTCTGTTAGTATGTCAGCAGCCAACGTTTTTATCTGTTACCTTTTGATAGGTAAACCTGAACAAATGCAAACATGAACACAGCTCTGCGGATCATCTCGGGTTCCCTTTGGAAACCCCAAATAAATGGCCACAAGGGATTGTGTGTTTTCCTGAGAACAGCTCGGCATTGGAGTTCTTCCTTTCTGTATGATGGATAGTGGCTTTGCTACTCTCAAAATGATACCTATGCCTGCTGGTGCAAAATGTCGTATGGTCCACTTCAGTGGAAGTCAAAATTTACCCATGCTGCTGTTCTGTGTTGCTAGGTAATTTTTAAAGTAGACATAAAATAAAGGGGGAAATGGTGGGAAATATAGGGGGGGAAGCTCTTTGTTACAGTAGCCACCAAAAATCCTGTTAAATTAAAACATAACAACCAAGAAACCAACCTGTTCTGTCGGTCAAGCCAGTGAAGCTGCATAGCATCAGTGTGCAAGGTAAATGTAAAATGTCCTTCAGTGTTGTAGATTGTCGTGGCTGTTTCTGCTTGGTATGCTGCTGTGGCAGCTTGGAGCTTGTCTTGCATCGCGATTCAGTATTGGAAGACAGTAGTGGAGAGTACTCTTAAGCTGAATATGTTACTTGAGGTAGGTTGAGCTGGTTTTCAATTTTCCTTGATAATGAATGGCACAATATATGCACAGTATCACTCAGTTTGTGTGTGATGTATCTGTTCTCTTCAGAATAGGCATGTTTATCATGCTGTTAGCCTTCTAGAATAGTTCAGATTCATTTTGCTTGGCACCATACCCACTTTGAGCTTTAATTTAAAGAAAAGCTTTATCATATGAATTAAGATGATTAAAAGTGTTACTTTAAAAATAACTATTTGCTGTGCTCCTGCTCGCTCTTACAAATCCCTTTTCTCAGCACTAGCTGCCAGGACACGTTCAGGTCTAACAAAGTAATTGCTGTTAATCATAAAGTCTCTTATATGGGGTAGAGGTTGAAATGATCGTAATTTCCTGTAAAGAGAGAATCCTGAAGAAATAGTGCAGAGGCAGAGACATACTGTTTAAGGAGAAAAAAAAAAAATTTAAACCCACACACTGTATAATCACTTTGTAAGTATTTGGGTTATGGTAAATGATTAATTTGTAACACTACCATATGGTCTTACTGGCTGGTTTTAGGGGTTGTCTTCAAAAACATACCAGATTTATTTGGCTACAGTTTTGTCACTAGTATCTACTAGTTGCCAAGAATCTGGCTCACTGCTTTCTCCTCAGTAAATCTGGGTGGCCAAGAAAGAGAAGATAATATACTCTGTCTGTTATGGAAACTGGAGAGACTGTGTTAGGACTTTGGAGGTCTTAGCCTTCCTGTTTGTAGACAGGGGAAGAAAGGAAGAAAAGTGTAATTAATTATGGTTTTTTCATAATATTAAAATACACACTGAAAGATGTGCAGTTTGTAATTGTAGCTTCCCTTTAAGATGGGTACATACTTATCAATAGCTGGATTAGTTTGACCATGTGGAGGTAATGTCCTAGGACACTAATATTTGTCCAGATGACAATTCCAGCCTGGTCCCTGAGGCTGACAGTCATCGATTTGTGTTTGACCTGCTAAATGATTTTAATACTAGCACTTGCAAAATTATAGCTCTAGTTATAAAGGGTTAGTGGGCTGTGCTTTGTCATACCTGCTTTAGGAAGAAAGTATCCATCTTCCTGAATGTCTGTGTTATGGAATAGATAACAGAACTTTTGAAACTTGATATATAGTAAGCTGCACCATGGGGGGGGGGGGGGATGAAAAGGAAGCAAATAGGAGAATTGAGGAATTAACAGCACTTTTAATAGGACTCAGACATTAAATTGTGCCAACTTTGAAATCGTATCTATTCTGAGCTGCTAGCCTCAGCTGTTTTTCAGCTGTACCTGATAAGGTAAATGTTACCTTTATTGTATATGTTTGTGGTTGTGTTGTAATTTGCACATGTCACTTCTGAGTTGCTTTTTGGGGCTGTTCCTGAAGTGAAGCTAGCCTGAAAGGTGCAACTTGTGTGTGGCTTTCCAGAGTAATTCTTTCTGTAACAAATATTTGCAGGGTGTGCGAAGTTTTCTGATCATCAAACAGAACCTCAGGATGTTGGTAAATTGTTTTAAGAAGTCTTTATCTGTGAGCATACAGAGTTCTTCATCCCCTTCTGTTGCTGTAATCGGGGGCTTTCCAGGCAGACTTCCTCTGTTCAGAGATTTCTTTAGGGCTCCTTGGCTCTGCAACATGTTTCTATGTCTGCTTTCCCAGCCTGAGTAATGGATTATGTTAAACCTATCAAACATTGCAGTACTTGCATGTTATTTTAAATCAGGCATTTGTGGAGAAGAGGTGATTTTAATTGGGGGGGAGGGAGGGGAATGTGTGCGTATGGGTGAGAGCTGTTTTGAAGCCTGAATGACTGGGGCAGGGAGCTGTTGCATTTTAAACACTTTGGGTAATTTGCGTGTGGACTCTGGAAGAAGACAGACGGAGTTCAGGATGGATACTCTTAGTAATGCTTTCAATTATTATTTAGGCCTTTTTAAATATAATTACAGTAATTTTAATTATGAATTAATAAATGTAACAGGAATAAAATTATACTCTGACTTGCTGTTTGTTCTTCCAACTGCACTTACTGCAAATGCAAGCAGATCTATTGCAGAAGTTTTGAAATTACAAAAGTCTTAAACTGTTGCATCAATTTCTAATGCTTTTAGTATTAAAATGTATTTTAATGAGACTTGTATGCAGTTCTGTTCTGAGATGTTGTTATAAAGTAGGACAATATTTTGGTCCAGTTCAGTTGTATTATTTTCATATATAGCTTTGCCCCTTTAAAGCATCTGTTAAATGTCTGTATCGCAGCAGGCTGTGGAACAGGGAGGAGACTGTATTTCTGCTTCCGTACCCTCAGTACAACTACAGTGAGAGCAGTTAGTTCTCAAGTTTCATTAATAACTGTGTTGTGTGCAGGGATCCTAATTATTGTAGTGGCAGTAATATGAGAAGGATGAAATGTCACTTTGGCCACATGCATTGGCAGGCCTAGAAGAAGACAGTGTTGTGTTTGATACGTGTGTTTTAAAAACCCTCCAAAGAGAAATGACTTAGGGCTCTTTGGAGCAGAACTGCACTTAATCCAAGCAGAAGTATGAAAATCTAGGAACTCATTAATGTTGTTTAATGAGGTAGTAAAATTAAATTTAAAATCTTTAGAGAAGTCTGTGTAGTAACAACTAACTGGTAAGAATGGGTAGAGAATAAATGGATTTTTTTTTCTGATAATGTGACGTTTTATTACGGTTTATTTCTCCATATTACACTTACGGGTATTTGAAAAGAAATGCTACTGTATTTTCTAGTTTGTTTGAAGTGTTGCAGTTATTTACTGTCTCTTTATTTTTTAGGTTACTATTAAAATCTTAAAATGCAGATGAAGACTGGCTTGTGCAGAATCCTTCTGCTATCTTATGCATACAAAAGGGAAGCCTAAACCAAGTGTTAGTACGAGGTACGTATTAGGATATTTGGCTTTATTCAGCAATTACTGAAATTAGGAGCCCTCTTTTTGTTGACATTTACGATTTGATGTAGAGTAGTTCTGCCCCTACACTTCAACTAATACTTGCTTTCAGGTAATGTAATTCCTTGCATAATTCCTGTCATATGTTAACATGTTTTTAAAGGACTTGAAGTATATTTACACAGCCTCTTGCAGACAGCTCAAAATCTGGCTAGTCATAATGCGTCTTACATCAAAACCCATAGTGCCACATTAATATGCTGCCATGTCTGAGCTACTGGATGTTATTGATACATTGCACTCAGAATCCAGTTTGTACGATCAACATTGTAGTTTCCGATTCTGAACTCTCCTCGGGATTAGCCAGTAGGCTTTGGTCTGGAAGGCTGTGGCCACGTACTCTGTAAAACCTGGGGTAGAGTTCATTTGCGTACACATAGCTATGTAGTATCATCTACCCTGGATGTTGGAAGCATCTCTGTAGGACTGACAGATACGAAGGTTTTAAAGGGAGATTTATGCAGCTTGGTTCAGTAGTTCTGATAGTTCTGAAATTCCAAAATACCAGTTGCTTTTATAAAGGAAAAATCCACTGATGGGATTTAACTGAGATGTGCCAAGTTCTACTGATAAAGCAAGAAGAATTTGGGTTAGTTCTCTCCTGTGTTCATTTGGCCTAGTAAATGTACTCAGAGTTGTCTCTATAGTTGTGTTAACAGTAAATAGAGAACTAGGTAGCTATAGAACAAGATATATAGAGCTATTTATTAATGACGCGTGAGAGATGTCCCTGCCCATGGCAGGAGGGTTGGGCTAGATGATCTTCAAAGGTCCCTTCCAACCCAAACCATTCTGTGATCCTATAGTAGTAGTTGATGTGATTTATTGCTAATTAGAGGGGTCCTTTTACTGATTTCCAAGTCAGCTGGTAAATTAAGTGTAGAAAGTAAGCAGTAAAACTTTAGAGACTTGCATGGGAAATATAAGCATAATGGGGTCCTTTGTCATTCTGTAAAAAGTATGGAAAGGGCAACATGAGAGAAGAAATCTTTCTGCAGTAATACAGCTCAAACTGTACTGTGAGTTATAACTAATACTGAAAAATTGCCCATGTGGTCTTTGATTTCCAAGACTGAAATAGTTCAAAATTTCTACCCAAGACAGGCAGAATCCTAGCATACTCTCCATGGAAGCTTTGTCTCCTTTTTTTTTTTTCCTACCTTTTACTCTCTACCTGCTATGCCTTGTTGCATCCTTCACTTAGGTAGCATTGCTTTGTAAAAGATTGTTCCAAAGAAAAAATTTTCTCTGTGCATGCTTCAGATGAAGAGTTGGAGCCCTGTCCCCATCCCTAGTGTTCAGGTCACCCCAGTAATGTGCTGTATGTCAGACAGTCTGGTAGTTACCGTTGCTACTGGAAATTACTTCTTTCCTGAGCCCTGCAGTGTGAACTCCCATCTCACCTCTGCAGCTGAAATTGGGGCAGGCTTTTCACAGAATCCCAGAATATCTGAGGTTGGAAGGGTGCTGTGGAGATCATATATTCCAACCCCCTGCTCAAAGCAGGGTGTCAGGTAGAGCAGGTTGCCCAGGACTATGTCTGTTTGGGTTTGGTCTCCAAGGAATGGAGACTCCACAACCTCCCCAGGCAACCTGTAGCAGCGCTCGGTCACCCTCAAAGTAAAAGTTTCCTGATGTTCAGAGGGAACCTCCCATGTTTCAGTTTGTGACCACTGCTTCTGGTCCTGTCCCTGGGCACCACTGGGAAGGCTGTGTCTCTGTCATCTTTATACCCTTATACCCTCTTGTTAGATGTTTATAAATATTTGTAAGATTTCGTCCTGCCTTCTCCAGGCTGAACAGTCCCAGCTCTTTCAGCCTTTTGCAACATGAAAGATGGTCCAGTCCCTCAGTTGTTTTCCATTCACTCTTGTACTGGGGAGCCCAACACAGGACACAACACTCCAGGTATCTCATCAGTGCCGAGTAGAGGGGAAGGATCATCTCTCTCCCATCTGCTGGCAACTTTCTTTGTAATGCAGTGCAGGATGCCATTGGCCGCCTTTGGGGCCAGGTCACATTCTTCGCTCATGGTGGTTCTTGAGTTCACCAAGACCCCCAGGTCCTTATCTGCAAAGTTGCTTTCCAGCCATTTGGCCTCCAGCCTGTCCTGGTGCCTGGGATTATTCCTCCCCAGGTGCAGGATTTGGCATTTCCCTCTTGAACTTTATGAGATCCTGTGGGCCCATTTTTCCAGCCTGTTGAGGTCCCTCTGGATGGCAGCATGACCCTCTGGTGTATCAGCCACTCCTCTCAGCTTTGTATCACCTGCAAACTTGCTGAGGGTGCGCTGTGTCATCCAGGTCGTAAATGAAGATGTTGGAAAAGGACTGGCTCCAGTACTGATTCCTGGGGTACTCTGCTACTTACTAGCCTCCAACTGGACTTTGTGCCATTGATCACAACCTTCTGGGCCCACCTGTTCAGCCAGTTTTCAGTCCACCTCATTGTCCACTTATCTAGCCTGTCCTTCATGTGCTTGTCAATGAAGATGATGTGGCAGACAGTGTCAGAAGCCTTCCTGAAATCAAGGAAGACAATATCCACTGCTCTCCCCATATCCACTGAACTGGTCACCTCATCATAGAGGCTATCAGATTAGGATCCCTAAAGATTTGCAAATGACCCCTTTGTAAATCCATGCTGACTACTCCCAGTTACCTTCTTGCCCTGCTTGGTCTGGTAATGGTTTCCAGGAATAGCTGATCTGTCACCTTCCCAGGGTCTATAGTTCCCTGGGTCCTCCTTCCTGCCCTTCTTGAAGATCGGAGTGACATTTGCTTTCCTCTAGTCCTCACACAGCTCTCCCAATTGCCGTGCCCTTTCAGTGATGAGAGCGGCCTCGCAGTGCCATCAGCCAGCTCCCTCAGTGCTCGTGGCTGCCTCCCATCAGGCCCAACGCACTTAACTTGTGTCCAGTTTAAGTGTTCCCTATCCTGGACGCCGTTACCTATTAGATATTAAAGGAGGGGCACTGAGGAGGTGGGAAAACTGATACATGCCTTGTTTCGTGGTTTTGCCTTGCCCTTTACTAAGGAGTTCCCTCTTATTTTCTAGTTGTGGTAAAATCACAATAGAATCATAATATAATCACACAATAATGTGTAATATACACCAGGCTATGGAAATACGCAAGCTACAAGCATTTACTCAAAAAATCTAAAAAAGACAATAGTTAAAACTTTTATCAGAAAAATAATAGTAGAAACAGAAAAAACACTTCATTAATTTTTTCAAAGCTTGACTTGAGATTTTTCTATCCAGCTGACATTTTGTCTTGACCATGTAGCTGTTGGGAATTCAGCCTTCTTGCTTGTCCTTATGTATCACACTGCCCCTGTGCAAAAGAGCCATTTGGGAGCCTCAGCGTTTGGCAGGTTTCCCAGGCGTCTCGGAATTCTTCTGTCCTCAACTTAGTTTCCTTCCTGTGAAGGGAAGTGCGGATGGCCGAGGTTCCTTGGAGATACAAGTGTTTCTTTGACTGGCTAAATAATGACTCCTTATCTCAGTGGAGCGATAAAATCCTTTCTCTTTTCCCATTATTCATTTGTGTGTGTGCACTTCAGATTGCAGTGTGAACCTGGCTGACGAAGCCTAATGGCCTAATTAAATTGCGTTAAAAATTGAGGGACGATTAGATAAAAAAGAGTGGATTGCATTGTATTTGGGGTAGAGTGTGCAACAGCAAACTGAAAAAGTTGCAAAAGACTGTGAGAGCAAGCCAAATCAGTCACATAAAAAAAGTTACACCTGCTCAGTTTGCTCTTCCTTAACTTGTTGCTGAGCAGTATTTTGTAGATATGAGAGCTGGCCTTGGTGTGCCATTGCATTCCCTTCTTCAACTCTGAAGTACATTTGCATACAGTTCTACCAGAAAATGCACTGGGCTCCGATTTAATTTGTAGTGCGGTCAAAATGTTCAAGTACATTTATACAGTTCTACCAGAAAATGCACTGGGCTCCGATTTAATTTGTAGTGCGGTCAAAATGTGTTGTCAGGCTGCCTGCTGCTGGGGTTCCTGAATAGTGGTAGAGAATTCCAGGTAACCTCCTGGAAGGGCTAGGTGGGAAAGCGTTAGCATTCCCCAGCTCTTTATCCAGCTGTATTTGCTAATGCATTGCTCTGTAGTCTGCTATTTGAGTCTTGTTGTTTGCTGTACTTTGATTACAAAAGTACGTTTTCAAGGAAGTTATCACTTAAGTATCTCTTGTAACTCCTCAGCCTGAATCGTACTTATTTCCTGAAAATGTTCTCCATTGCATTAGGTTTCAATGAAAACCGCTGGTGGCTATGCACCCTTGGAACTGAAGATGGCTTTCTGCTATACCGTGACTACGTACAAAATGCTGCTCTTCAAGTTGGAATTACAAGGACCACCGCGGGTGAGAATATAATCGTGTTGTCACTCATTAGAGCACTTAACAGTGGTTGTGATTCTTGTGATGTAATCTGTTTCCTTTGCACTCGGTTATCAGTCTCTTTGTATTACTTTTGTGCTTAACAGGTGTTCTTTGTTTCTTCATTGCTCTCTATGCTCCTGGGCACAAGAATAATGCTGTTAATCTAGTAAAACAGTAATTAAATCTGTAGCACCTAGCTGAACAGGGGAGAGGGATGAATTGATCACTCTCACTTAGCTGTATTCTTTCTGCTTGTAGACAGGTCTGCCCTGTGAGGCCTGAGGGAATAGGGCCGTTTGAAATGGTGGGAAGGGGACCAGCATGGAGGTGGTGTGTTCCCCACCAGCACCCCGGATTGGAAAAGACCCATCAGAAGAGTCTGAATACGATGTCTGCTTGTGATGTTCAAGATGCCTTTTCCTGTACGAGGAGATGAGTTACAGCTTTTGTGATGTTACTGTCTTCAGCCTCCGGCAGAGAAGGTGGTACCTACCCAGTGTTAAGCGAAGTCAAGCATTTCATAGTGAAGCTGATGTTGGCCAACTTCGATGTGTAACTGAGGTCTTGACTCCCTTTTTATCTGGGCTGTTCTGGAAGCAGATTTTCTTTCCGGACCTCCGATACTAGTACTGGGAAATGGTGTTGCTAAAAGAATTGAAGTTTGTACATGCCAGAACAGGAATCAGAGTAAATGATATATTAGAAGGCTGCTCCTTGGTTAAATGATTGGTTTTGGACATAAAAAAAGCCTTTGGAGTTAAATGAAATTAGTAAGAAGGTATTTTCAAGCACTAAAATCTGTGACAAAAGATAGGAAAGCGGTGGGGTTTATGTTTAAAGAAAAAACAATAGTGTGGATTGTGTTTAAGTTGCAGTAGAGTTTAAAAGAGCTCAGAAGCATTAGTTACCTAGAGGAATTGTATGAGCCAGCAACAGCTTAAAAGGACTGGAACGAAATGTTAACCAATGGGGAGATTAAAGCTGCAGTAAGATTTCACTGTCTGTGCAGTTAAGTTTGAGTTGGAAGTTATGATAAAAATGCCTGCTGTCTTAATGTAGCCCAATAAAAAGATGAAAAACCATGAATGAAATGAATAATGGAAGATGAATTTTGATGCGATGAGATTTTAACATTGCACTGTAAATATATCACCATGTTTTTGTCAGGGTTTCTGTATCTATTATAAAACTGTTTCAAATTGATCTATGAATAACAGGATGTTTATTTTCTATTTCCTGAAATCAACAAGGCAGTGAACATGAATCGAGGGCCTGACAGGAACCTCACCAAGTTCAAACAAGGCAAATGTGCAGTCCTGCAGTGGGTACCGAATTCACTTGATGCAGTTGTGCAGCCTGGGCACAGACTGGTTGCGAAGCAGCTTTGCAGAATCAGCTTCGCTGATGGGGTCATCCTGGGCTCCATTAGAAGAGCACAGCTGAGCAGGGGCATGCAAAGCAGTCTCTCCTCTCTGTTCAGCGCTTCCGAGACTGCAGCTGGAGTGCCGTGACCAGACAAGATATGTATGGGAAGAAGTCCAGTGGAGGCCCCCAAGATGATCAGGAGGTTAGAGCATAGGAGCCATGGGGATAGATGGCGGGGTTTGTTCAGTCTGGAAAACAGGCGGTCGGGGGGTAGGAAGTCTTCTCTTGAGCTGTGTAATGGAAGGGGATAGAGAAGATGGTCTATCTTAGCGGTGCAGAGTAATGAGGAAGTCTTGTATACTTTTCAGTGTATGCAAGCGTTGCATCATACTGCTAATAAAAATAGTGCAAGTCAGTACTGTCCTGCTGTACGTAATTGGTCTCCCTGCACTGTGGCACCACTGGGAGTTCCTGGTGACCCTTCTGTTTCAGGAAGGGTGAATGCAGGGGACCCAGACTGGGGGCTCATGTGGGGTGATGATCACTTGTGGTTTAGGGACCTTCATCCTACTGTTTACAGAAATACAAACTGTTGAATATTAAGACAGTGGAGGCGACAGATCTAGGAAAGCAAGGGAAATTTGAAATGCTTGCACATCTCCTGTGCAGACTTTCCCAGGCAGGACAGCACAACCAGCTTAGTAAAGCCTTTTTTTTTAAAAAAAAAAAAAGGCAAGCACAGCCTTTGCAGGCTGGGGCTCTGGCTGTTATGGTTTGTGGCAGGGATAGCAGCTTTTCTCCCATAGTAGGGATGATGGTGTTCAGTGTAAGATGTACAACTGCTGTAACAGGCCTAACTGGGCTTTTCTTCCCCAAATTCATATTCTCTCCACTTGGCTGTTGAAAGTCTGTACAAGTAACAGCTGGAGGGAACAACGCTTCTTGTCAGAAAGTGAGGGGCTGTGATAAGGATCAAGATATCACTGCATGGGCAATACTGTCCTCCAGCTTCGGAGCAGGCAGCGGTCTCCCTGGGTATGGTGACAATGTCTTCAGTTCCCACAGACATGGTTTTGGTTGTCTTGAAAGCCAGAGCTAAGCCCACCCTCGTTTTAAGGGTGGCATGCGCGTGAGAGGAGCCAGGCAACGTTAAGGTCTGACCCATCTACTATAAATGAGTAACTAACCACAGAGGAGTTCCTTACAATTCAAATCACGTAGGAACTATTACAGAAATTCTTGAAAAGAATTCGGTTGTAGCTATCCCACACAACAGTTGAGACTTTGCTGTGGAGAAACAGTTGACTTGAAATCAAAAAGAACCATCTTCTGCCTGGTCCCTTCCTCCTAGCTGCTGTACTTTTTTTTGAGACACCCTTTTTTAACCTTATTTTTTTAACCTTAATCCTGCTCAAATCTGTATTCCATGCTGTCTTTTGTCTGCTTTTAGTATTTTTTTTCTTAACCCTTGTCTTTGCCTTTCACTCAAACATTTTAAGACAGGTTCAGCATCTGAAAAATATTTTCCCCATTTAATGTGGGACACAGAAAAGCTGAGGAATTTTAACCACGCTGCACCACTAGCTTAGAAAAATGTGGCCTTTATCCTTCTCTTAAAAGGTAAGACTCTGTAAACCTCCATGTTACAGAGGGCGACTCCAGCAAAACTAAAAGACCCTGCGTGATACATTCCTATAGCAATGCTGTCTCAGCTCCCATGCTATCAGCCTGCCACTGCTCTGAAAGACTGACCTGAAGGAAAAAGATTTTACACTGGCTGTTTTCCAGTACTGTATGGGAAGGCAAATGGTGATAACAGAATTATAGCAGGTACAGACAGGCAGAACATTTTAGGATGGCCCTCAGGCACTCTGAGCAGTCCTAGCTGACTAAGATGGCAGCTAGTCTTCCATTCCAGACTGATCAAAAGACATCTCATTTTTGAAAAATGGGTGCAGAAAGCACAAAGGACCTGTGATAAAGTCAGCTGTGTTACCCACCAACCCTCAGTATCTGTGGAAGAAGCAAGTAGTGATGATGTAGCAGTGAAAGATAATGAATCCAAGCCTTCAGAACAATTTATTGCCATTGCAGTTTATAGTAACTGCACCTGCTTTGCTTAGCCTTGCTGACAGCAGCAAGAAGAAACTGAGCGAGTACTTCAAAGGTGTTTCTCTGCAGTGCCTAAAGAATTGTTTTTTATTGTAGCTACTTTGTCTTCATCTTTTGTCCACCAAAACCTTTTTCTTAGCAACTGAATAAAAACCATAATAAAATCAGACAAAAAACAGCTTCAAACATCTTTTCATATGACTTTTATGCATCTTCAGTAGGGATTCTGAATTTATATCGCCATCTAAAAGAAAGATGGCTGCAAAATCCATCCCTCAGTAAAAGCATCATGAACCCAAATTTTATTCCTATGTCCTGTAAAACTCCTCCCTCTTTCCCACGTCTCAAGGAAAAAAAAACCAAAACAAAAAACCAAACACAAAACCCCAAACAAAACAAACCCCCAAAATCAACAGCCTTTGACAAACTACTTGCTATGTCAACTCTTGGAGCATTACTAGACATTTTTGGGTTAGACTGTACAACAGTTCCTAAATAGTATCTATATTATTGGACATTTGTTCAAAACCCTTTTGTCCCCACCTTGAACAGCTCAAACATTTACCACCGACGTGCTGTACAGAGCTTATCACACACACACTCTACCGCTACGTGTACAATGCAGGAGTAACTGGGGAAGGGGTAGCTGTGTACATGAAAACTGTCACTCCAACATAATGGAAGAAACGTCCCCCTTCCTTACTCATCATCCAGGGTTACGCACAGTGACTAAGAAGAACTATAGCTACACAAAGTCCCCAGTGCTGGTGGTGACATACCTGATCCTCAGCCAGTGCTTTTCATGCATTTCAGGTGTTCACACTTTGCAAAATGAGGTATCTAACATATTTCAGAGAGGTGGAGGTACCAAGTCTGCTCAAAACCCAGACTTGTTAAAAGCTCATCAATACTGTTTGCAAAAAGATAAGCAACTAGTCTAAATCAAAACAGAAATGAGTGTTTGCATGTCATGTTGCTGTTCTAGTTTTATATAGCTTAATGTGACATTCCACAAAATTGAAATAGTGTGCTTTGTTACTTACTCATTTGGCATCTCTTAAATATGAAAGTTTTAAACTTTCAAGAACCAAACATTAAAAACTGGTTAATCGAACTTTATATTAAAAAGTCACAGTTCTTAAAAGGATACTTACTTAATACATCTGCACCATTTTGATGGTGAGCACTCAAATACATTAAGAGTTTATCCACGCTAGTTTTGCTAACAATATAGGCACATAGTGGCATGTAAACTACACGTGGCAACCAGAACAGCAAAGGCACAATCAGGTTTGGGTTTTTTTTGTCCCCCCCTTTTTTCCTTTTTTTTTTTTTTTTTTTTAAATGTTTCAAGATTGTTCATTTACAAAGAAAAATATTCTATACTTCATGCAGAAGTATTACATTTGGATTTGGACTGTTACAGAACTGCTGTCATCTGATAAAATGACCCATTTTAAGTAAAAAAAAAAAAGCAGCTCTTTCTTTGCACTGAGGAACTGAATTTCTGAATTGAAGGACAATACATGTTCTCATCTGTCAGGCTGAGAACATCTGAAATCCTCTATGAATCTTCTTGTCTACAAAAAGCCTTGCCTGCACATTTAAGGTGGTTACAAGTTTTCTGGTTTCAGCTTGTATTTGTTTTCCCATATGCAACTTGACTGAGAACTCAAAAGTTCAGATGTCTGTAAAACTATCATCAGTTGCTTCTCTAATACAAAAGCAGTTTTAAACACTGATATAACAACTGGGAATCTGATTGCGATCCTCTGTGAATTGAGCCTATTCAGATGTCTTTGTTCATACCTGCAGACCTAACTGTGCTTGTTTTAAGGGAAGCACTCTAAGCACAACTGCTTTCTCATCAGGAGACGGTAGTGGGGAAAGTTTCAAACCAGAACACAGGCCTCAGCAATTCAAAGTTAAATCTAATGCAGTGACCTCAACATGTGATTTCTGCCCACAGCTCCAAGAATATGACAGTTCTGCATTTTACATAGAAACGTTAGAGTAAGTAAAAAATTTTAGTTTACAAATGGAAAAGATTATTAAAAAAGACGTTTCACGTGGTTACCTTAAATAGTTCTTATATGCACCATTCCACATTGTGGAAAAGCTGAAATACGCAGTCTGGACTCCACAAGTTAAAGAAAAACAGAATTATATGTATTGGCACAAATACTTACATCTACATCTGTACAAAGTAAAAAAAGCTGACAACCCTGTCCCACCAGTGCAGCGTATTCAGCTGCTCTCCAACACACACTTTCCTATGTGACTGCCAACGAGCGACAGTGAGATGGGAACTTAGTCTTAAGAGTGTGGTGCCAAAACGTTCCAAACTGCTTTGTCAGTCTCTAAACAGAGGACATCAGAAGTACATCCAAAAAAGTGTCAGTCCGCTCAACATGCTCGCAGCTGTGAGGTCACTGCAACTGCACTCGGTATGCGCCTATCAGCAGCTTCACCTGTAAAAGCAAACAAAGGTTTCGTATAAAGATTGGTCATGTGTAACTACTGTGTTAAACTCTTCTAATATAAGAAAGGCATGAGAAAAAGCATAAATTGCTAGTTACGGAGAAAGAAAAAAAAAAAAGGAATTTACGATCTGTGTTTAATAAAACCAGTTTACAGCAGCCCTGCTGAAGTATGAATGGCTGAGAAAGGACTCAAGGAGAACACTACTGCATTGCGTGGTGTTTAAACAAGTTAGCCCCAAACCTGAACTAGACATACACATACACTTCCATTGGAATACGAGTTCAATTTTTTCCCCTTAAAACAAAAAGAAAAAAGAGTACAATAAAACACTTAAGAGTGTAAGTTTTTCATCTGAAGATCTAGAAAACATACTGGTGCATCTTCCAAGGATAAAATAAATGCTACCAGAACAGGATCTGTTACTCATCTTGCAACATGTAGTGGGACTACTCCCCAAACCACCTGGAAAATACAACAGACTACACAGACTATTTAAAAGCAGACTCCTAGTAAATACTTCCAAGTTCTCCTAAACACACAAGCAGAAATACCTGTATGCAAAAAATAACTGACACTCCATGCATCTGTTAGTCATTAAATTCACGATACAGACGGGGAAAATGTTTAGCTGTAACATTACTTTATCCTGGTGCACGAATTATTCTGACTGCAGCATAAAAACATTTAATTACAACAGAACTAACACCCTTGGCAATGTTCCTAAGTTCCAGCAGTGTCACAGCATGGAGCTGTAACTGGTGGGAACTGGGATGAGGAGACAGTGGGAAGTCCTTCGTTTTACATTTGCAACATACAGCTAGAAGCATTTAGACTATGGAAGAGTTATTGTACAACAAATTAACATACACGTTTCATTTTGAGAGCATTTTGTACCTTGGCAGTAGGAGCTTCTGCCAACCGTATAAAAAGCTTGTTAAGGCCTGCAGTAGGGCTGAAGGAATAAATAAAGTGACTATCCTAAAAGGAAAAAGAAAATGGACAAAGTTAATGGCAGGATATGGCTGAAAGCGCCACGTGAGTGGACTAATAGAACACAACATTTTAACTACGTATTTTTTGAAAGAAAGTT